ATTTGGTCTCGTGTGTTGTTGTGGAACGAAGTTGGGACGGTTTTGTTGTTGCATGTAGTTTGGTCGGGGTTCTTGGGTGTTGTTGTTGTTAGACCACGAAAAGTTAGGGTGATTTCTCCACCCCGGGTTGTAGGTGTTTGAGTAAGGGTCGTTGGCCGGTCGGTTCTGGTACCCTTGGAGAGCGTTGGCATCCGCATATTGCTCCCCGAAGTCTTGGTCGAAGGCCGCCGGGCACACCTCGGATCGGTGCCCGTGGCCTCCACATGTTCCGCAAGCTTCCACTGCCATAGTTTGTGTCGGTTGGACACTTCTTGCATTAAGTAGCCGCATTTGCTCCATGAGTTCGGCTATTTGGTGGGCTATCATGTCTTTTCCGGGGGCCACCTCATTCACCATCGTCTTCTTTCCTCGACTGCTCTTTTGAGACGAGTTAGCACTCATCGTCTCAAAAATCTCCATCATCTCCTCGGTTGTCTTTGCCCCGATATCTCCACCGGCCGCATTGTCTACCATGTATTGAAGGTTTTGGTGGAGAGAGTCGTAGAAGCTACTCACCAATAAACCGGGTGGAAAGTTGTGGTGTGGGCATTGCCTCTGGAGGTCCTTGAAGCGTTCCCACGCCTCGTGGAGTGGTTCGTTGGGTTGTTAGGCGAAAGAGACGATTTGTGATCGAAGCTCTTGAGTCTTTTGATGGGAATAGTATCTCCCGATGAACTTTGAATACACTTGCCCCCAAGTAGTGAGGGAATCGGGAGCAAGCGTCATAAACCAAGCCTTAGCTCGGTCTTTTAGTGTCTCGGGAAAACACCGCATCTTCAATTGGTCTTCGTTGAGCCCGTGGAGTGGAAAGGTTTGAAGGACGTTGTAAAATTCGCGGATGAAATGGAGCGGATCTTCGTTGGGTAGCCCATGAAAGGATGGGAGTTGGTTATAGTGGATCGTCTTGAGCTCGTAATTTCGAGCCGCCGGTCCCAATCGAATGCATGAAGTCACTGGGCCAATCACCGGTTGGGCTAAGTCCCGGAGAAGATATCGTGGGGGGTTGTTTACTTCCTCTTCTTCGTGTCGGGCCATGTCGCCTTGCTTGTCGGAATTTGATGGTTCGAGAGAAAGATTGGCAAACAATTCTCGTAGATCTTCGTTGATGGACTTGTTGCTCGGGATGAGTACACGTCCACTCCTAGTACGCATACAAAAACAACAATGCGTTACGAGCACCCGTTAACGAAAAAAAGCTAAGGACAATCGCCCCGAAAATACTACTACTACTCGGAAAAATAGAACAAGAAATAAGAGAAACACAAAAACAAGAAAATCACAAGAATTAAGCGAAACACGAAAACAAATGAATAGACGCACGAAATAATTCCTAAACCTTCCCCGGCAACGGCGCCATTTTGTTGTACTTTATTTTACCAGAGTAGAATCGAAAGATTCGAACACCGGGTCGTGTTCTCAAGGAAGGTTAGCCGGACTATTTTGTACTTTCATTCGATCACTAAAACGAAAATAATTCTAAACATTCTAATTCAAATGGTTGATTGGATTTTTACTTAACAATTCTTAACTAGAACAATTTAAAATTATACTATTGAAAATAATTCAAAGAGATATAAATTATCAAGATGAAGATAATTCCAAGGAATGTAAATAACTAGGGTATCGGGGACAATCGTCTTCAGTTTATATAAATTTGACGGCAATCAATTACTCAGTTAAAAGGCTCGATTAACTAACTCATTTAGTGGTTTTACCGTACTAACTTTCGTAATATATGGAAAAACATTAATGAGTAAATTAACAAAACAATCAACACATAAACAATACGTTTCCGAACATGTTTATTCTAAACGAGTCAAGTTCTACCAACTTCGCCCCTCTCGGTTTTGAAATCAATTGTTTAGATTAAAATGGTGATCAAACATTTAATCGTGAAATAAGTAAAACTCGTAAAGTTTGAGTAATTGATATACACATAAGTAGGAACTAACCGAGCGATTTTCCCCTAACCCTAGTTAGATGATTAGTTGCTCATAGTAAATTTAACATCATCATTCAAATAAACCATTCTTAACATCATGAAATGAAAGAAATAACTTACTTGATAATGTATAATCCAAGCGCAAATGCAAACTTAATCTCCCAAAACAACAATGATATTTCCCAAGTGTTCTTCAAAATAACAAACTCAAACTAGAAATGAAATTATAACTAAAATGTAGTAATAATGTGGATGCTTAATGATCCTAAATGTAGTGGTATTTATAGGAGTAACATCTCCAACACCACTACTAAAGTTTGCAAAAAACATGATCAAAATTCTCCACTACATAGCACTCACAAAACAAGCCACAATTTGAGGGGAAAAGAAAAAAAAAATTGTCTGCCAACAGCTGCTAGCGCCGCTGGGGGGGGCTAGCGGCACTAAGTGTAGCTAGCGGCGCTACCCCTACCTAGCGGCGCTAGGGTATAGAATTTTCGAGCTGCAGAAATCCGCTAGCTTTTGCTAGCGCTAGCATGCTACCCCTAGCGGCGCTAAGGGTAGCTAGCGGCGCTAGCCCCTGGAATGACCCCGTTTTTATTATTTTTGACGTTTTCGTTCCGCATGCTCTCGGTTAATGTTTCCCGGGTACTGCCCGAGCTGGAATTTTGACTCACGAACGTCTTGGACGGATGAATGATACGAAACTCCTCGAAACCAGGACGAAATCATCAAAAACCTGTAATTAACATAATCGGAAAAAAACGAAAAAAAAAGAAATAGGACAAAAAATAACAAAAACAACAAACATAACCAAAATAATAAAGAAAATACAAAAAGCGACTAAAGAGACCGGAAAATATCTAATAAACGACTTATACGAGGGATAAAACCGACAAAATTCTAACAAAAATAGCAACAAAAATATATTTAATATTTTATATTATTTTATATTATAAAAACACTAAATACGATATTTAAACACCTAATATTTTTCGATCGATTAACGTAATTAACGTTTACGTGCAGCATGTTGTTTTATAAGGTGCGACATGTTGTGTGATAAGGTGCACCATATTGTTCTATAAAGTGCAACATATTGATATATAAAGTGCAATACTGAAATTTTAGTATGTTAGCATACTTGTGTTCTTTTCGTGTATTAATGATGTGATGGATATTAAAGTATTATGTAGATCCGTTTTTTTTTATATATTGTGTAATATTTTGTGATGGGAGTTGTTGACATTAATTGTGCAGTATAGTGATAAAGTGCAATGTGTTGTTTTATAAAGTGCAACGTCTTGTTTTATAATGTGCATCGTTCTGCTATATAAAGTGCACTACTTTATATGATCACATATAAATTATGGCCTTGTTTGGCGATCTGTGGATAGCGGATAGCAGATTATATTAGCTTATTTGACCAACGGATTGCATTAGCGGTTTTTAAATAAGTGTTTGGTAATAGTTGAAAGCTTATAGCTATTTGACATTGCAAAATGACCAAGAAGGACATTTTATTATTTAAGGTGTATTCTTTTAATAGTAATATATTAAATATTTAATATTTTTTAGTTGGTAATTTATAAATATATATATATATATATATATATTTTAATTTACTAACAATTGATGAAGAAGTTATGAGTTTTACATTTTTCAAGATAAGTTAATCATATGAATGACATATTATTATTTATTAGCACCATAAACCAATGTAGATTGTAAAATAAATAAGACAAATTAAATAGATTGTGAATCCTCTATCCCCAAAAACGCTGCTCTAATGAGTTTTTTCTAAATTTGAGTTTTGGGCCCAAAAATCTTATCAAATAAGCTATTTACCAAACAAGCTCAATAGCGAATTTGACGGGTCAAACCTCTTAATTAAGTCCAATCCGCTAATTTATTTTCAATCCGCTATCTACCAAACGGGGACATGTGTTTTTTAAAAACTAGATTTAGTAGATATAATAGTACATCAAATTAACCTAAATAATTTAAATAATTTATTATTTATCATTATAACAATATATTTATTATTTTAATATTTTTTACAAATTAAAATTTACATACTAGAATTTTATCAAATTATTTATATTATAAAAAATATATTTAATATTTATGATTTTGTTATTTTATATTTTATATTATTGTTCGTTGAAAAACAATAATGTGTACTCGTAGTCATTCGATCAATCAACCGAATTAACCTAAATAATCAAACTACTTTATTATTTATATTAAGACTATATTAAGTATGTTAATATGTTTATTAAATATTGTATATTATTTTCTTTAGTTGAAAATGCATCATAAATATATAAATAAAAAATATATATGCATAGGGTTCATTTATGAAGCAGCCATAATACAGAGTTTGCAGCCTTTTCTATTTACTTCCAAATTCCAATAGCAGGAGCGTCTCATCCGGTACGAGATATAAATAGTTTTTTAAATAGTTTGAAGCCTTTTTCTATTTACTTCCAAATTCCAATAGCACGAGCGACTCATCGGGTAGAAGAAATAAATAGTTTCAGAAATTATAGATTTGGCCCAGGTTAACATTAACATTTTATAAATTGCAATCAAATCCTTGAATCTTATCTAATTCACAAGATAAAGCCCATAGATTTAAAACTTGAATTTCCGAAACTGATATCCCATCATTCCTTTGCTGCGACGCAACCACTACCGGCGGGACCTCAACGGTGGTGGCCGATGGTTGGTGTCTGTAAGAGGCGGCAGAACTTGGTCGGGCAAGGAGGTCGGATTTTCCTGGAGATCGGACTATGCCTGGAGGTCGATGGTTATCCGTTCGCCGGTGACGTATGGTGCACTATGGTCGCCGGTTGCTATCGGACGAGGACAGCTTCATCGGAGACGAGAGCCGGCGGCCGCGTGAAGGCAATGATGGGACTGTTTTTCTTGCGGGAGAGAGGGAGAGAGAGAGAGAGAGAGAGAGAGAGAGATAGTGTGTGTGGTGTCCGATGGTGGTGGCAGGGATGATTCGACGATGGCGGTGCATCACCGGCAGTGGCGGAGATTTGCCGGCGGGATGAGTCGGCCGGTCTTTTTGCGGGAGAGGGCGAGTGCGTGGTTGGATGGCGGTGGCGAGTATGCTACGATGGTGGTGATGCATCAGCTGGCTCCGGCAGTGGCGGGGTGTGCCGGCGGGCGTCGGGTGGACGGAATAGTCGTGGTATTTTCGGCTGGGTTATGGGTGTGTGAGGTGTGTGTGAGAGAGAGAAATTGAATGAGAAAGAGGGTTACGTGAGGTCGTGGTCCATGAGAGAGAAAGAAAGTGAATGAGATATAGGGATATGTGATGTGTTAGGTGGGGCCCACTTTTTGGTGCAGAAAAATACCACATTGTCCTTAATGAATGTATAATTTTGACTTTTTTATATCCGCCGGATCATCCGATCTAATGACTGAGATGTATTCTTATTTTTTTCATTGAGAACCATTCTCACCGGAGTTTAGTGAAAGAAATAAGAATGAATCTATATCATTCGATTTATTATTTTAATGGTGATGATGAAGTCAAAATTTAATAAACATGGTCAAATATAGGATGGTAATATCGTAAATAAATTGATATATGGTGGTCATATATATACCATTTACTACTAATTAAGGGTAAATTTGTCAACACCTCAAATATCTCTCCCAGTGGGTCCCACCACAACTAACCACCCTAATATCTGTCTCCCATCAGATACACACACACGCATTCATCACTTCACACACACCAAAACACACAGGCACACATACACCCCACCGCCTGCAACCGGTGAGCCGCCGCCCTCTCATCGCCTGGAAATTCATCTCTCTCACTCACTGACAAATTAATCACACACAGACACAGAAAAAAAAAACGAAAAATAAAACGGGCAGCACACAGTGCCCACACCTCATTTCCGTCGGCAACCCCCGACATCCGCCACCAAACCACCGCCGCAACAGTCCCGAAGGTCCCTTCGTTGCCAACATTCAGACCAGATCTGCCATAGCCCACAGCCGCCGCCAGTCACGCCATCTCCGACCACCTGCTTCAACGAGTTGTTTTCCGGCGACTCCGTACACTCTTGAACACACCGGACTCTCTGTCGTCGTCTCCACCGGCGTACACGCTATCCAACATGTCCGACAACCTACCACAGACCGCTTGAAACCACATCGTCGGAATTTTATTCATATTCAGATGGCGGCGGCGCAACCAGTCGTCGGGGCCATGTTCAAGGTTGTTCTCCGGCGGCGTATAACCGGCCGTCGGGGATGGGTGGGCGGCCGGCGGTTGATGGGTGAGGTGAATGGTGCGTCAGTGGTATATATGAATTGGGCCTCTATTTGAGAATTTGATAGGTTTCAGGGGCGTAAATGCAATTTTAGAAATTTTAATAAATTTCAGTTTAGTACATGGGTCAAATATATAATTTACAAAAAAATATATTAAATGCATTGTAATGATAAAGAAAGTGAATAATACTGCATTATTATATATGTGAATTGTAACCGATATTTTTTAAGAGAAAATCATGTAATCGAACCAAAAAATATAAAATTTTAAAAAATCTAGTTTGGTCGAGTTTTGTTATATATTGTGCAATCAGTTAATTGCTAAAATGCAATTCGTCTAATGCTAATGTGCAATCATCATACGTAAAATATATATATATATATATAATAATAATAATAATAATAATAATAATAATAATAATAATAATAATAATAATAATAATAATAACACATTCTCTCAACAACACAACACATTGAACCGGTCAGCACCTAAAAAGAGTAAGTTGCCAGCAAAGAAGGTGGGGGATGCCAGCCTTGAATTGCACCACCATGACAAATGTTAGCTGTGGTGTGGAATTGTAGAGGGCTGGGTGGGCCCTCTACAATTTCCCAAATGCGAGAGTTGATTAAAGCTCATCACCCACATTTTTTCTTCCTTTCTAAGACCAAAAAATAAAAATCTTTTGTAAGATCTATAAGTTCTAAGTTAGGTTATGCAGATAAAGTTTCTATTGTTGATCCCACTGGTCTAAGTGGAGGTTTAGCTTTATTTTGGGATTCTACTATTGTTATCCAGCAAATTGTTTGTAAAGAATTCTATTTTGCTGTTCAATTTTCTCTTCCTTCTTGCAATCCCCAATGGGGACTTTTTGTGTACCTAAGCCCCTGCAAGATAACCAGAATATCTTAATGGGAAGCTTTAATTCAAGAAAAGGCTTCTTGGGGTAATTGCTGGTTTGCTATTGGCGATTGGAACGATATTTGCAAGAGCTCAGATAAGCAAGGAGGTATACCAAGAAGCTTAGCCACTTTTCTACCTTTCAATTCCTTTATTGATGGCATGGATGTAGAGGAAATCAGATTGCAGGGTTACCCTTTCACATGGTGTAACAACAGAGCTCCTGATGAATTGGTGGAAGAACAATTGGATAGAGCCTTTGGCTCTTTGGATTGGCACCAAAATTACCCAAATGCTTCAGTGACTAATGTTCTAAGAAGTTCTTCAGACCATTCAGCCCTCATCCTCAACATGGGACTTCCATCAGAAAGGAAACAAGTCAGATTCAATTTTAACAGAAGATGGGTTGGCAAGGATGGTTTTGAAGATACAGTTAGGCAAGCTTGGTTCACTCCAGTCACAGGAACCCCTTTCTTCAAGCTTAAAGAGAAAATTAAACACACAAGGCTTGCACTGTTGAAATGGAGTTCTTCTTTCCAATCTCATAACCAAGAACTTATAACTGAGCTCACTCAGAAGTTGGAAGCCCTGAATGAAGATAAAACTGGTGACAAATGGGATAGCTGGGAATCCACAAAGAGAGCTCTCAACAAAGCTCACCTGCAGGAAGAACTGTTCTGCCAGCAGAAGTCTAGGCAGAGGTGGCTAAAGGAACGAGATGCAAACACCAAGTTTTTCCATGCGTTTACTCTTCAAAGAAGAAAACACCAAGTTTTTCCATGCGTTTACTCTTCAAAGAAGAAAACAGAATGCAATTACAAGACTCACATCCTCTCATGGTAGAACCCTGACCAATCAGAAGGAAATAGAGCATCACATTTCAGAATTTTACTCTAACCTCTTCTCATCAGAAGGCAGCTGGGGTGGAGACTCTATCCTTCACTTGATTCCTCAAACCATAACCTCTAATATGAATACAGCTCTCTTGAAACCAATCACAGAAGATGAAATCAAATCAGCATTATTCAAAATGCCTGCAAATAAGGCTCATGGTGAAGAAGAGATGAGCTCATTCTTCTACCAACATTTTTGGGAACTGGTCAAACATGATCTCCTGGCTGCTATCATCAGTTTCTTTCACTCAGGTATGATTCTTAAATACTGGAATCAGACCATTCTCTCATTAATTCCAAAATGCCCCAACTCAGACTCTCTTAGCCAATTCAGGCCAATCAGTCTTTGTACTGTAATTTATAAAGTCATGTTAAAAGTATTGGCTCAGAGATTGAAAGCATGTTTATCCTCTTGCATAAGTGATCACCAGTCTGCTTTCGTTAAGGGAAGGCAGCTTATGGATAATGTAATAATAGCACATGAGGCATTTCATTTCTTGAATAGACACACTTCAAGTCCAAACTGCTTCATGGCCCTCAAACTGGATTTGATAAAAGCATTTGACATGACTCCCTGTCGACCTCGAGCCCCCAGGTCGGTTCATCACTCCCTCTTCGAGCTTCGCTTGCTTCCTCGAGAGCTGCTTATTGTTGCTCACCGTGGTTTGATAACAACTCCTCGAGATAAGCTGGTCTCCTGCGACCTCACCAACGTTTTCCCCCACCAGATATTTGATCGTCATGTGGTACGTCGACACGACCGCCTGGAACGCATTCAAACTGGTCCTTCCCATGATGATGTTATATGATGATTCTGCTCCAACGACCACAAACCACACCATTGTCACCTTCCTCGTCGCTCCCTGTCTCAAGGCAACAGATAGGCTCACCTCTCCCATTGGCATCACCTCGTCTCCATTAAATCCGTACAAGGTTGTGGTCACCGGCTTCAACTCAAGGTTAAGCTTCTTGTTTATCTGCACAAAACAATCATAAAACATTACATCCACCGAACTCCCGATATCGATGAACACCCGCTTCACATCAAAACCAGCCACCTCCGCCGTTATCACTAGCGCATCATTATGGGGCAACACCACTCCCTCTGCATCCTCTGCTCGAAAACTTATCTCCGACATCCGAGCAGTGATCCCCACCTCCGCTCTCTTTCTCTTCATCGCTCGAACATGGCCCTTCCTCGCATTGTTCGAGTCCCCGTCAGTCGGGCCCCCCGAAATCATATAGATCGTCCCCCTCTTCACAGGGCCACGATCCTCCTGACCTCCTTGATCTCTACTCCCTCGTCTCCTTTTGCCTCCTCGATCACCTCTTCCTCCTCGAGGCTCCTCTTCCTCATCATCATCTCGATCACTCCGCTCCACCGAATCTTCCCGACATTTTCCTTTATCCTTCCCCTTTGCCTTGTCTTCATACACTAACTCCTTAAGATACCCCGCCCTAATAAGGCGCTTGATCTCATTCTTGAGGTGCCTGCACTTCTTCGTTGTATGCCCATAATCTTTATGAAAACGGCAGTACTTTCCCGACCTAGGTTGTGTCGGCCCCTCACGTCTCGATTTCAGCCACGTCACGTCCCTATCCTCGATCTTCTTCTCAATAGCCACCAGCACTTCTCCCATTTTTGCATTCAGCGGCGTAAAATTATGGAACTGCTTCCCTCCAAACACTGGCCGATCTTTCCACCTGTCCTCTCGCCCACGATCAATCCTGCCACGCCCCTCTCTTCTGGGCGATCTCCTACCTGGCGACGCCCTTCGAGGTGAGCTCGCCCTTCCTCTCTTCGGCTCTGGCTTAGCCAATTCCTCCAACTTAGCAAACTCCGCCTCCGTCTCCTCCAGATTAATATATTTCTTACACCTTTTCAACACGTCATCATACGTACGAGCAGGGGTTTTGGCTAAAGATGTTTGACAGGGCCCTGCTCGCAAACTCCGTATCAACCCCCCGGCCTTCACCTCGTCCGCGGCCGTGGGGATCTCCAAACACGTTTGATTGTATCGCGCAACATACTTGCGCAACAACTCCTTCTCCCCTTGTCTCATGGCCATCAGCGTCAAATACGTTTTCTCCTGCGCCACCGCACTCGCGTACTGGGTCATCAGTTTTTCCGCGAAATCGTTAAAGTCCTTAATCGATCCATGAGGGAGCTGTTGAAACCAATCAAGCGCACCTCCCCTCAAGGTCGATAAGAATGCCCTGCAACTAACAGAATCAGAATAACCATGCAACACAGCCAAATTCTCAAACGCCCTTACGTGCCTCGACGGGTCAGTGGTCCCGTCGAACATCAAACTCATGTCCCTAAAATTCGCAGGTAGTGGTGCAGCCAGTATATCCCTCGAGAACGGATGTTCTCGAACACGCCTTTCAGGTCGACCATCCATCTTAGCCTGCATCTGCCTCACCTGCTCCGCGAGTCTCTCCACCTCCCGATCTCGCAGGGCTCCATCTCCTCCATAGCTAGACACGTCCTCATCCACCATCGTTGGGTCCAGCAGCCACTCGCGAGAGGCTTTGAGTGACCTGCTGAACCGCTTGTGCCGCCGCGTTCGCCACCATCTGCTGCATCTCCTGCCTGGTCATCACCACCTGCTGGCCGGGACGCGGCTCCTCCACCGGCGGCGGTATTGCTCCCTGCGCCACCGCTCCTTGCTACAGCGTCGCGGCCAGATCTGGTTGCAGCGGCATTGGGATCGCCGCTCCTTGAGCTGTACGGGTCTTCTGGGCCCGGCTTGAGCCCACATCAGCCTCTGGTTGCACCAGCGTGGCTCCTACACCTTGGGGAACGGGCGTCGGAGTCACCGGTGTACGCGAGGGTCCAGAGAAGCCCGGGGGAGGGCCTTCTCCAAACGGCCTCGTCATCGTCCACGCGTCGTCGAACGATGCTTGCAAATCTCTTCTAGGAATTCCGTCTGCCATAGCCACCAAGCTTCAGAAATCTCAGCACACCACTTTTCGAACGAAAGTCCCACAGACGGCGCCAAATGGTAACGCAAAACACTCCGACCGGCTTAAAATCGAC